TGCCTCACCGCAGAAAGTTGATCATAGTATTTCCTATAGACCAGGCAAACACTTTCGAGTATATATAAACATGGCACAGTTAAAATTTTATGGGAAATGAAGCTAGGTTTGCAAGATTGTCGGAAGGGAATTCTGAGCATAAACCTAAGGGCTCTTTTTTGCAAAATAAATATGGAGTTGAAATTTGCAGTACTGCAGCATCCCCAAAATGCAATACCATAAGTCATGTGTGATTCCACAAGAGAAAAATATGCGGTCCTGAGAGCTCGCAGCTCCAGCTGCTCTGAGAGCACTCTCAAGGCATAACAGCTAGACAATAACCTTCCAGAGAGTGCCGCAATATGCTGCTCAAACTTGAGACTCTCGTCCACTGAGACTCCAAGAAACTTTGCACAGATGGTGGGATGAATAAAAATACCACATAAGGAGATGTTGGATAATGAGCACTTGAAGTTTAACATATTGGTCTTAGATATGTTGAAGGATAGATTGTTGCTGTCGCACCAGGTTTTTATTAAATCTAAATCATTGATCATGCGTTCCAAGAATTCACCACTGTTCGCATGCCAAACAATGGATGTGTCGTCAGCGAAAAGTCGAATACTTCCTCTGACCCTAAGAGAGGCTAGATAATTGATATATATCAGGAATAAAAGGGGGCCAGGGAGGCACACCGCAGTTGTTGCTCATTTTATCCGAAAACTCGCCCCTATGAGAAACTACCTGCTGACGATCACCCAAGTATGACTGAAACCAATTTAGAGACACACCTCTAAAGCCATATACTTCAAGCTTGCGGAGCAATACAGAATGATCGACACAGTCGAAAGCCTTCGACAAGTCACAAAACACCACTGCTGAAAGGTGATTCTCATTTGTATTTAAATAGATAACTTCCAGAAGGGAAAATATCGCATCAGTATTCCCTTGCCACACTGAAAGCCAAATTGATTCTCCGAGAGAGACCTGTTTAGATTTAAGAATGGAAGAACTCTGGTTTTGACCAGTTTCTCGATCAGCTTACCCAGTGAAGGAAGAAGGGAAATAGGACGAAAATTTGCTGGAGAGTCTAAGTCTCCCCCTTTGTGAAGAAGTACAACCACTGCATGCTTAAGGATATTAGGAAATATACCCTTGACAAAGGAATCATTTATTGCATCTCCCAGCGCATGTAAACCCCCATCGTTAAGATGAAGTAATAGATTGATGGAGATATCATCATAGCCCGAAGAATTTTTGTTTTTGAAGGTTATAAGAGATTCCTTAATCTCAGGAACATCGACTGGAGCCAAGAAGAAGGAGTTTGAGACATTTATGTCGGTTAAATAGTTTAAGGGATTTGCTCCGGAGTTGAGCTGGGACGAAAGCTCTCCAGCTATAGAGCAAAAGAAAATATTTAGATTGTTAGGAGACTGGCTGGATGAAGAGACATGGGGGCGAGACGTTTTACCTCTTATTTCATTAATTATAGACCATGCCTCCTTTTGAGTTCTTTCGCTGCTTTAATTAACCTCCTATAAATAATTCGATACCTTGTAAACAGGGACAAAAGAAATACACTATTTCGGAAAAACTTTCTGAGATAGTTCAGACATCGCATGTTTCTTGCAGATATTCTAATCCCTCCGGTAAGCCATCCCTTTCCATCGTTTTTTTTTCTCTCTTATTGTGACGATAGGAAAGGCCTGATTGAATGTTTTGGACAAAGCACTGTGAAAAGAATCCAGTGGGTTCTCGCACTCAGGAGACAACCAAACAGTATCCTCGCAAAGGTTGCGGAACTTAATGAAGTTACGTTTACAAAATATACGACCCCGTCGAGAGGACAACGGAGATGATTTTATTGATAAATTGAAAACAGACAATACCGCCTCATGATCAGAAAGAGAAGCACTCAAAACCTTACAAGAGACATTTTCAATGTTAGAACACATATAATCCAAAGTCGATGCGCCGTTATCAGTTATCCTGGTTGGTTCCACAACATGCATAATTAGATTGAAACTCATTAAAAGGTTCTGAATTGAATTTCTAGTATTAGCAGCATTGTAATCAATGTTAAGATCGCCAGTCAGAACAATCGAGGCAAGAGGGGGGAGGTGACACAATAGCACCTCCAAGCCATTCAAAAACTCCCTCAGACAAGTCACAGGGGAACGGTATATACAAATAACATAAATATTCAGCATACTGCTGTGAGTCATGGAGAATTCTAAAACTTTCTCAACTATTAAATGGTCAAACTTGTCTACATTTATAAAATTAAACTTATTTTCTGCCGTTTTGCTCATCAGCAGCACTATGGCTCCATGAATAAAGTTCGATCTACTAAATTTTGAAATAACGTTATAATTGCGTAAGTAAATTGCTTCGTCGAGGTTAAGCCAATGTTCTGAAAGGAACACTAAGTGCGGGAAATTCAATTCTAAGAGAATGTATAAGTCGTCAGTTTTATATCTCAGAGATTGTATGTTCAGCAAAAAGACAGAAAAAAGCACCGATGAATCGTTTAATCTAAAAAATGATTCTGTCTGATCACTGACTGAGCCATCACTCAGAGAGTCTGCAATCGAAGAAACTCCAAAAAAATTTTCTATGTGAGCATGCAACAAATTTGCCAACTCGGAACCAAAGTTACTTACATGATTAGATTCGAATATTTTACTTAATTTAATGTTATTCTTCTGAAAAGCTTTATAAAGTGACAAATTGCTGTTGTAAACAACATCAAAATTTATGCCTAAATAAGGACTGGTCATAACCAGGGTATTTGTGTGGTTACATGAAAAAGTGAAATTATTTAAAATATAAGACGAAGAACAAACACCACTTAACCACAAAATCACCAAATCTTCACGATTGAAGTCATGCACCAGCGACGAAGCGGTCTTGGCCAGTTCCAAGCTTGTACTACCAGGCTTCAGAAAACACTGCACATTGTAGTCCTCTCCAAATTTCAAACGCAAATGCGTCAGGAAAATTTTGTCAGTATTTCCACTGACAAGGAGAAGTTTTGGTCGGTCGTCGACAAATTTAACATGCCCCACACCTAGCACCTGTGCAAAGTTCTCATCTGCAGGACTGTTAGTAGGTTGGGGGATCTGTTGATTGTTCTTTAAGAGACTAATTTCTACCAGGTGAAATTCTTTTTCAGCTTCAAGAACTTTCAAGGAACTGATCATCTCTTTATTCATAACAGTCAATTCCTCCACATCTTTACGTAATGAACTAAGATCTTGCTCATGAGCTAGATTTTGCTTCTTAATTGTATTTTTGTTGCTAATTATGTCCTTATTTAAAGAATTTAATTCATTAAGCTTGAGAGTAAGATCACGTCTTTCTTTTTCCAAAGATTTTACTAGCAACAGGACCTCCTTTTTCTTTGTTCTCAAACTGGAGATTTCCTTGCTTAGTTCCTCATTTCTTTTGCTTAAATTATCGAGGGAAGAAGGAAAGGATTTTTCGGCTTCCGATACTTCATCCTCAAACACCAGGCTATTTCTTCGCATTCTCTCTATATGCTTATCCTTTTCTTTTATCTCCTCAAGCAAATCATTGATTTTATCTTCATGGACCTTTGTTGCGTTTTCTTCATCTTCAAAGTTGGACTGACATCTTGCTGAGCATAAAATTTTGTAGCCTCCCAATCTTGTGACATTCGCAATCCGGTCCAAACATTTAGGGTGGAATATCGACTTACAAGCAATACAGCAAAAATTTGAAAAGTCTTTATTTTTACAGCATTTGAAGCAACGATTCATTTCAAGTAGGTAATGATTTGACGTCGGGACTCGAAAACTCATCAATATTCATGCAAATAACAAAAAATTATTGAAATGTTGACAATGGTCGAATCTGGCCCTTTTTTGTTACTCTCTGAATACAATAAACCAATTTTTTTAATTTATAATTTGTACCTACTGATATTAACAAATAAATAGGGCAGTGTTTTAATCCTCCTATGATTGACACATCAAGTTTAAATAAGAAATAATGCATATAACAAGAAGCACTTTTAGAGATGAGCACAATGGCACCACACACATCAAAACAACATTACTTAGAACGGGAAAAAAAATAAAAATTGTAGGAGCAACAAATAAACTTAGCGAGTTCGGTTCACCGGTACCTGAAAAACATAGGTTTCCTCCTGACTGGAGATTATGTCAGTAAATTCTTGTGTACTTTGTCTTTGCCTCTGGATGTAATTTTCCTTATGTGCATTTTCCTTTGTTAGTCTGTCTACTTCTTTATTAAGTTCATCTATATCCTCTTCATATTTGCTTTTATACTTTTCAATCTCTTGATCCTTTGCTGAGAGTTTTTTCTTTAATTTGGAATTTTCTTCCAGTACTATTGACTTTTCATTACTTTCCTCATCACGTCTCTTTTTACATTCCTTCGAACACAAAATCTTTCCTGGAACTATGTCGCACAGGTTGGACAAGCGGTTTTTACAGCTGTTATGGAAAATATGCAAACATTGAATACAGCAAACATTGGCACACAATTTGTTGCATTTAAATGTGTACTTGCTCACATCCTCTTGCAAATTTGTCGTAGACATTACGATTATTTTTGTCCAAGGTACTCTCTCCCACTTAGTTCAGAGAGTCGTGCCGAAAACACCAACAGAGAAATTAGGTTTTCATGAAAATTTAATAGACTTTAATTTTCCCTAGAAAATCCGCTCTACTAAACTTAACGTATACACGGATTCTTCAGTTTAGATTGCGCATCCACCAACTTGTCCAGGTTATGTTTCACTGGATGCCTCGTTTGACCTGTAGAAGGCTGAACCAAGCCAGTCTTCATGTATTTATCCATTTATTCCTATTATTCCTCTGTTTGAAAAATTTGATCCATTGCCTGTCAACCATTGTACAAATATCGACACCTGATAAATCATCCCTATCGGAGCTAGCCAAGAATAAATTGATATCCTTATAATCTATATAAATATGTTCCTGAAAATTCACAATTTTTTTTTCTATTTGTAGTTTGATGGTAGAAGAACTAGCGAGATGGAAATCCGCCCTAACAAAACGCACTAGTGACCTGCAAGAACTACTAAAAAGAATCCTGACTGATCACGCTAAACTTCAAAAGCAAATGCTGACAACCTTCAGCAATTTAAACATGGTTTACGAAAAAACTTCCAACAAACAATTCAATCTAAAATCGGGTGATATTATGGAACTAGGTACTGCCAATTTGGAGTTATCCGAAGAGGTTACTAAAATTTTAGCTGTTAATAATAATGAGAAGAACTTGCAAGAGAGAACAGAAAATGCTTATTCAGCCACAGAGAAATTAGCTCTGAGGGTGAGTAGTTTTTTTCTAGGAAAATTAATTTTTTGTTAATTGCAATTGTTTTATCTTTTTCTAGATTCTAAAAAATCCTGTGAGTCTTTCTTCATCCCAAGACGTCCTTTGTAGTGCCTTAGTTGGTGTGGCTCACTCTTTAACTGGAGATCAAATGTTCACACAAAATCCCTTGCTGCATCCTTGTTGTTCTCATTGTAAAGGCGAGCTACAGGATATTTGACAGGCTTCTTGAATCAAGGACACACCAAGGCGGGTAGCTATTAAAATGCATTTATGGTTTAATTATTTTTTCTATAGCAGATTTTTTAAGCAATAATTGGTTATATGTATGAATAAATTTATTTGAAAAATACACATAATAGGTATTTTTTTTTTTGGTATTATGAATAAGACCCCAAGATTTACATGAAAAATTTCTTTATTAGCTGTATCAAAATGTTCATCATGATAACATAAAAATATAGATATAATATCGTTATATTAAAAATGTCTGTATTTCATATTGACTAAAGCTCATTTTTTTAGTAGATGATACACCTGTTCAGTCTACAAAAAACTAAGCTGTACATTACAGTTTATATAGTTACCTTATTCAATATAATTTTGCTAAACATATTCCTCTTAGATATTATGAGAGAAAATTAATCTGAAATACAAAGACACATTTTTTTATGCTGCGTCATTTTCATAAAATCACCTCTTATATTATATCCTATTCACAATTCGTAGTCCAAAGGTGAAGGTAAATTTATCACCTTTCCCTATAAAATAGCACTAAAGGTGATACATTTTACCTTTACCTTTGGACATCGGATTGTGAATAGATAATAGAAGTCGATATTTTTGTAAAAGGGAGCCTGAAAAAACTGGATATTTGAAAACTACATAAAGAAAATTGAATTTTTAGCATTTACATGTGGATGAGGCGACTTAGCTTTGAAAATACATCTCAGTGTCATACTTTAAAGAGAGTGAAGACACAATTATTACAGTTTTGTGATATTTGACATCTCTATTCATATTGTTTAAAACCTTTAGAATGTTTGAATTGCATAGCAAATTTTTATTGAATAGGGTACAATGTTATAATGATAATATCAAGAATTATATCACAATTACTGATTATAAAATGTACATTTACATGTATTTACAATGGAAAATAAAGTGTTAAAATCTATAAAATTGTAATATTAAAATTGCCTGAAGCTGAGTGGACAAAACTTTTAAGGGCGGGTATTATAAAACTACTTTGAGAGTTAACTTAAAGTTAACTTCTGAAATTACATGTTATTCAAAAAGTTAACTTCAAGTTAACTGTCAAAGCAGTTTCATAATACCCGCCCTAAGTGTTATTAAGCCGATGTAATGCACACAAAGTATTGATTGATTTTCATCGGAAAGCTTCAGTTTCTTATTGCAAATAAAATTATTTTGCTCAATTATCCCGATTGAACTTTGTACGTTAATTAACAACAAGATAAATATAGTTTGAAAAGCGTGATTCTAGTGATACGTTGCGTTAGAAATATTTTCACAAAAACAAGATTCAATTTTATTTACACAGCAATTTTAAGTTTTGTTACACTGGAATCGACTTAAGGTACCGCTGATGTGTTTTTTACTTGAATTTAGGTGTTGTTGTGATGCTACTTAATTTCCTTATATTACATAGACTATAGACTACTCAGGAAATGATAAAACTGGACAATTGAAAATATTCATTTATGGAAAAATCGTGTTTTTGGAAAAAAAGGAGCGCAGATTTTTCATAATGTTGGTCTAGTGGTACCAATCAAAGATTGATATGAGATGATATAAGGAGTAAATGAAAGTAGATACTTGCCTCAGCTAAATACAATTTTGGAACCAATACAACAAATACATAAAATAATTTTTCCTGAGTAGTCCACACCACTATACAGCCAGTTCTAGCTCAAAAAAATTTCAACCCAAAATTCGTAGTTTATTTTGTGATGTCTTGGTGATGGGTCCTAGTGATGGAGGATGTCCTAGAGATCGCCAGCCCAGATAACAGCCCTTTTCGATCGGTCCACGCTGGCCAGGTAGCTGCCGTAAGGGTGCCACGCCGTTGCAGTCACAGCCGACCTGGAGAACAGTCCAATTGAGGTTGATCTGCGTATTATTAACAACACACGTCTACACATTGGCGTTAGGAATTGGATTAGATTTGTTTCAACAAAAATTACTAACAGTGATTCTGAGATGTTTGAAAGCTGAGCCTGATTTAGATAATGTTTAATTTTTGTTGGGACAAACCTGAAAAAGCAGTCTTTGGGAATGAATTAAAGCAAACATAATGGGATGGGTTGATGCGTCTACAACTATATTTCTAATGGTGGCTGGTGTTGCAATGTAGTTTTAAATATAGGTAGTAACTTTACTTTATAAAAGCTACATACAGTCATTGTTATCAGTGGTTGCAATTTTTTTTCTTCCCAAAAATGGAACAGGGTGAATAGACTGTTATCACTTTAAACAGATGTCATTAGGTAGTTTCTCTGATAGAATCTGAGTTCATGAAGATTGAAGTTCCACAAAAATTCATTAGGTAGATATTTTAAAAATTATCATCAAACATCGAGCTCAGAAATTAGCTTCGAGATTCGAGACTGGTCAAATCAACGGGATTGTAGCTGAAGTTGCAACAAACCTAGTATCTTTAGGAACTAATAAATGACAATCAAGTCCTTTAAGTACTCAAGTAATATACCTCAAGAGTTTACAATCGATCTTATTGATGACGTTTGGTTTTAAGAGCCTACAAAACAAAGTACCACTAATATAAAAGGTAGGTGTATTCCTTTTGCATATAAGTAACGGCAGAATGAATTTTTTATATCACCTCAAACACTTCCGGCATTCGCTACTTAAACTTAAAAGGTCAAATAAAGGAATTTTCCTTCATAATCAAAATGTTGTGTTAGGTACTGTAATTTTGAAAGAGTCAAAAGTTAATAGATAATCATCAATTCGGTTTGCTTCGAGCAGCATTTTCAAAGACGATCACTTCCAAAGTAGGTTTATTGCGAATTTATTACTACGTAAAAAAATATGGCGAACTGTAGACGAGGTCCGAGTTTTCTCACCATTATTTTAAATTGCCAATGTGTCCCACTGTCAACTTTATAAATACCTACAGGAAGCACAGTTTGAAGTACGATTTTTCTTTCCGTAGGTACTGACTTGAAGAAGAGAGAGCTCCGATAATTTATGCGGGTAGTTAAAGTGTGGGATGCTTGATAGTAAATTTTGTGTAATTTTATTTATTTTTTTGGAAAATTATGCATTAAATGGAATTTGTATTTTATAGTTTGATTATTGAAAATAGCGAATTTGATCTAACTTTACTATTTAACAGGAGGGACGAGGGACTCAAGTAAGCTTGGTAAGTTTTGAAAAAAAGTAGCTAAGTCAGCGTCAGGTGTTCTGTGAATGTGTATACAGGGTGTCCCAAAAAGATACCGACAAACTTTAAGAGGTAGTAGGGGACATCAAAACAAGCATTTTTGTTTATATAAACATATGTCCGCAAATGAGCCATTTGGGCTGTAGAGCAAAAAAACTGTTTGATACTTTTATTCTTCGCAATAATTAAATCACTGTTTACTTATTAATTTTACTTTATTAACAAATCAATTATAGTTTACAATAATTGTTCAAAATGTTGACCATTTACTCCAATGCCAAGATTGCACCGTCGGGTCATTGACTGAAAAGTTTAGTCTACGAAACACTTGTTCGTAATGAGGAAGATCTGTTAGCAAGGATACTGGCGAGTTGTACCCATGTAGAAGCTATTTCCGGAATATTCCAAAGGGTTCGCGAGTCAATGACCCAACGGTGCAATCTTTGCATTGAAGTAAATGGTCAACATTTTGAACAATTATTGTAAACCATAATTGATTTGTTAATAAAGCAAAATTAATAAGTAAACAGTGATTTGATTATTGCGAAGAATGAAAACAGTTTTTTTGCTCTACAGCCCAAATGGCTCATTTGCGGACATATGTTTATATAAACAAAAATGCTTGTTTTGATGTCCCCTACTACCCCTTAAAGTTTGTCGGTATCTTTTTGGGACACCCTGTATAGTGTTGTAGACGATAGAACATTCAAATAATTTCTCAGGTAATAAATTTTCGAACTTAGTTACTGCTGAAAAGTTGTTATTAGTGGACACTATTACAGTACCTCCATGAGATCAATATAGTTCTAGTAGACCTAGATACTGTGGTGTAGTTTTTGGCAAACACTACGCAGGCTCTTCAATAGTGAGCCTCCTGGGTTTAATGGACTGAATATTGATGAATAATGCACTGAGTTTGCTATCGCTTATTGTTTCAAAGGGTGCTTGTTCCTCTGTGTTCCGGAGGCTAATCGCCGGAAGCTTATTGCCGGAGGCTAATCGCCGGAGGCTAATCGCCGGAGGCTAATCGCCGGAGGCTAATCGCCGGAGGCTAATCGCCGGAGGCTAATCGCCGGAGGCTAATCGCCGGAGGCTAATCGCCGGAGGCTAATCGCCGGAGGCTAATCGCCGGAGGCTAATCGCCGGAGACTAATCGCCGGAGGCTAATCTCCGGAGGCTAATCGCCGGAGGCTAATCGCCGGAGGCTAATCGCCGGAGGCTAATCGCCGGAGGCTAATCGCCGGAGGCTAATCGCCGGAGGCTAATCGCCGGAGGCTAATCGCCGGAGGCTAATCGCCGGAGGCTAATCGCCGGAGGCTAATCGCCGGAGGCTAATCGCCGGAGGCTAATCGCCGGAGGCTAATCGCCGGAGGCTAATCGCCGGAGGCTAATCGCCGGAGGCTAATCGCCGGAGGCTAATCGCCGGAGGCTAATCGCCGGAGGCTAATCGCCGGAGGCTAATCGCCGGAGGCTAATCGCCGGAGGCTAATCGCCGGAGGCTAATCGCCGGAGGCTAATCGCCGGAGGCTAATCGCCGGAGGCTAATCGCCGGAGGCTAATCGCCGGGGGCTAATCGCCGGAGGCTAATCGCCGGAGGCTAATCGCCGGAGGCTAATCGCCGGAGGCTAATCGCCGGAGGCTAATCGCCGGAGGCTAATCGCCGGAGGCTAATCGTCGGAGGCTAATCGGAGGCTAATCGGGGGCTAATCGCCGGGGGCTAATCGAGGGGTAAGTGCCGGAGGCTAATCGGGGGCTAATCGAAGGATAATCGGGGGCTTATCGAAGGCTAATCGAAGGCTAATTGTCGGGGGCTAATCGGAGGCTAATCATCGAATACTAATCGGAGGGTAGTTGGTGGCTAATCGGAGGCTAATCGGAGGCTAATCGAAGGCTAATCGAAGGCTAATCGGGGGCTAATCATCAGTGGCTAATCGCCGGAAGCTAATCGGAGGCTAATCGGGGGCTAATCGTCGGTGGCTGATCGCCGGAGGCTAATCGTCGGAGGCTAATCGTCGCAGGGTAATCGTCGGAGGCTAGTCGGAGGCTAATCGGGGGCTAATCATCGAATACTAATCGGAGGCTAGTCGGTGGCTAATCGAAGGCTAATCGGAAACTAATCGGAGGCTAATCGGGGGCTAATCGGGGGCTAATAGTCGGTGGCTAATCAGAGGCTAATCATCGAATACTAATCGGAGGCTAGTTGGTGGCTAATCGAAGGCTAATCGAAGGCTAATTGGGGACTAATCGTCAGTGGGTAATCGCCGGAGGCTAATCGGAGGCTAATCGGGGGCTAATCGTCGGTGGCTAATCGGAGGCTAATCATCGAATACTAATCGGAGGCTAGTTGGGTTCGAGTCGAATACTAATCGAAGGCTAATCGGGGGCTAACCGCCGGAGGCTAATCGAAGGCTAATCGTCGGGGGCTAATCGGGGGTTAATCGCCGGAGGCTAATCGGGGACTAATCGTCGGTGGCTAATCGGAGGCTAATCATCGAATACTAATCGGAGGCTAGTTGGTGGCTAATCGAAGGCTAATCGGGGGCTAATCGTCAGTGGCTAATCGGGGGCTAATCGTCGGTGGCTAATCGGAGGCTAATCATCGAATACTAATCGGAGGCTAGTTGGGTTCGAATCGAATACTAATCGAAGGCATCGGAGGCTAATCGAAGGCTAATCGAAAGCTAATCTGGGGCTAATCGTCAGTGGCTAATCGGAGGCTAATCGGAGGCTAGTTGGTGGCTAATCGGAGGCTAGTTGGTGGCTAATCGGAGGCTAATCGAAGGCTAATCGGGGGCTAATCGTCAGTGGCTAATCGGGGGCTAATCGTCGGTGGCTAATCGTCGGTGGCTAATCATCGAATACTAATCGGAGGCTAGTTGGTGGCTAATCGGAGGCTAATCGGAGGCTAATCGAAGGCTAATCGAAAGCTAATCTGGGGCTAATCGTCAGTGGCTAATCGTCGGAGGCTAATCGTCGGAGGCTAATCGAAGGCCAAGCGAAGGTTAATCGGGGGCTAATCGTCAGTGGCTAATCGGAGGCCAATCGGGGGCTAATCGTCGGTGGCTAATCGGAGGCTAATCATCGAATACTAATCGGAGGCTAGTTGGTGGCTAATCGGAGGCTAATCGGGGGCTAATCGTCAGTGGCTAATCGGGGGCTAATCGTCGGTGGCTATTCGGAGGCTAATCGAAGGCTAATTGGGGACTAATCGTCAGTGGGTAATCGCCGGAGGCTAATCGGAGGCTAATCGGGGGCTAATCGTCGGTGGCTAATCGGAGGCTAATCATCGAATACTAATCGGAGGCTAGTTGGTGGCTAATCGGAGGCTAATCGGAGGCTAATCGAAGGCTAATCGGGGGCTAATCATCAGTGGCTAATCGGAGGCTAATCGGGGGTTAATTGCCGGAGGCTAATCGGGGACTAATCGTCGGTGGCTAATCGGAGGCTAATCATCGAATACTAATCGGAGGCTAGTTGGTGGCTAATCGGAGGCTAATCGGAGGCTAATCGAAGGCTAATCGAAAGCTAATCTGGGGCTAATCGTCAGTGGCTAATCGTCGGAGGCTAATCGGAGGCTAATCGAAGGCTAATCGAAGGCTAATCGGGGGCTAATCGTCAGTGGCTAATCGGTGGCTAATCGGGGGCTAATCGTCGGTGGCTAATCGGAGGCTAATTATCGAAT